TTTTTATTTCTTAATATCTTTGTTAAATAATAAAATAATTTTTGCTGACATAGTTTTTTTCATGTTCCTGTCAACAAAATTTTATACATCGTTTTTTGATATTTCATTATATAGAAAAGAATCTGTTTAAAGTTATCTGTTCAACTTTAAATCATAATCCTAATATTATTTCCTTTTACATAATGTGCAAAAACAGATGCAAACCATTGTTTATGATTTAAGTCCTGTAAAAGTTACCTCTCTTTCACTATTATTTAAGTTTCTAAATTTTGTTCCCAACTAAATTATTTGACTATTTTTATTTTCACATTTATGCTTTAGCTTTAAAAATTTCAGGGATTTTATTTCATATTAGAAAAAGTGTCTTATTAAAATACATGTAATGTTCTTGGAAACAAAAATGTGGTCTTTGGTTTGCATTGAGTGTATTATGTTCAATTGGTAAATAAATAGTTGAATTCTTAATTTCCAGCTAATTTTGATCTTCAATAATTTAAATACAATGTCAATAGTTATCTAGTGTCTTCCTGATTGCTCTTCTATTATCCTTACTCCTTAATAATGTTTCTGCTTTCTAATTCTTTCACACCAGTAACCCCCTTGTGTCTTACAGCCTTCCTTGGGATAATTGCGATTAAAAAGAAAAGAAAAAAATAGTCAACCAGACCAGCTTGCTAAGAAAAGGTTTTGTGTGGTTGATAAATGTTTCTATTGGCAAAAAGTTGTGTATATATCATGTGAGCACCCTGGCCACCATGCTTCTAATTTTAAAAAGTTATTATATACAATGGAAACTTAGTATTATCACAAGAAAATTTGAAAAAGATTATTAAAAAGTATGCATGATGCATACAGTTACTTCATGTGCTACTTTTTATTTTTGAGGTAATTTTACTAAACTTAATATGGGATCATGTAATAATTACTGAGGAAAGTCAATCTAGAGAGTTTGAATCCAATGTAAAAATTTGTATTCCATATTATAGGATATACTCTCTCTCTCTTTGTTTAGCTTTAAACCATAATCGTGATAATGTGTCAACATGAGGAATTTTATTTCCTTTTACATACTGTGGTAAAATTAGATCCAAATCCTTGTTTATGATTCAAGTAGTGTAAAAGTTATGTCCCTTCACCCATTATTTAAGTTCCTAACTTCTCTTCCCTTCTCAGTTTTTGTTTTGACACCGTAGTGTTTAAGAAGAAACCAAATTCTACATGTACGAATTATGTTTAATTAAATTTAAATCGCTAAACATGTTATCATCGTTATTCATCAAACATATTCAATATGAAAATCAAAGGCCACGGATTTTAAGGTTCATCTTAAAATTCTAACAGGTGTAACTTTTGGTAATTCCTTTGTATTTAAAAAGAAATTCTAAAAGCTTTTGTTGATCAAACTTCAGCAAAAATTTCCTGCTTAAGAATTGGCAAGTTCTACTAGTGTTGTGTTCCATACAATCATTAAAGCCTTTTTTCATATATATGAATAATTAGATTTTACAATCATTTATCTTCAAGAGAGGTACATTACTAGGCATCATTCTTGAGATAAAATTGCTGAGATGAAATATTTACTTAATTTACTTAATTTAAATTCAATGTTTTTATTTTTTTTTTTTACACAAAATGGAAATAGGTTTTTAATTAATGACAAATATTTCAGTAAATACCTACTCTAGAAATTGACTAAACCATAAAAGGATTCTAATTCTTTTTTGTTGGAAAGAGCAGACATATTTAATATTTTCTGCATTAAGCTTGGGTCTAGTGAAATAACCTATTTTGAAATTGGGTACTCAAAATGATATTTATTAATAATTGAATATCATACTAGACATTCTTAATTTATTTAGTTAGTACATGACTGATAACACTTTTTCGTTGGTTGCTGCAAACATGTATCATTATATTTTTTATGTCCACTTTTAGAACATTTTCTATTGTTTCCTGAAATATGGCACTTGTCATTTTTATCCAGTATGTCATTCAGTCCATTTAAGTAAACCTATGTGGGTTGTTAATAGTTGTGGTTTCCTTAAAATTATTATCAATTTGGATTTAATGATTTTATTTTGGCTTATGTATATGTAATGTTATATCATTCAATTTTACTTTAACCAATATATTTCTTTTTCTTTTTTCTGTAGTGAAAAAAATGTCAGTTTCAACTTCTGAATTCTCTTCCATTTTTGTAGAAAAATAAAACGGTCACAAATTAGCACACTGTAAATCCACTCTTTCTGTGATCAGCTCACCCCACTCCTGTTCACTGCTACTGACTTTCTTCATTTTTTCTGCATTCAAAGGCAGCTATGCTAAACCATCTAGATTACTCTGTCTATCAAACATTTTTTATTATAAATGATGGAATGAATCCACCAGTTTTCCTTTGTTTTATGGAGCCAATGGCATCGGCAGGTGTATACCTTCAGCCTTTTTGAAGGTAGATGAATTTCTTCTGCATTTTCAACATGTTCTATACTTTCTTTTTAAACTTACTGTTTGAAACTATTTTTATTTTTACATATTTTGCATAGTTTTCTTTTTATTTCATGTTTGCAATTACAACATTTACATTTTAGTTTTGTCTTCGTTATCATGTATATGTCAGCAGTTTCCTCTTGATTTTCAGTAGAGTTAAATTTTTTAATCAACTCTTGTTCTTGTATAATGTCAACACATGAATTTGGTGACATTTTACTCAACAACAATTGTTCCAACATATTATATTTATGAGGAGTGTTGTATTTACCTTCAATTAATCTTAATTGGATAAACATTTTATTTTTTTCTCAGTCATTTGAATTTGTAGTATCTGCTGGTATCTCTTAGCTGATGTAAACATTTTATAACTGGTTTATCAGCCTATTGTTTTAAAGACATGAACTTAGTTTGCTCTGTGATGATCAACCTTTTTTGGTCTTATATTTTTCTTAATTATCTCACTAATTTCCTTGTATATTAAGTCTTCCAAGTAATTTAGACATATTATTAATAAGATTTTCATGATTGTTTTGCACTTTGTTGAAACTAAAAATAAATCCATGATTTCATTCTTAATACCTGCTTTGTTGTCTTTTAGTTTCTTTAATCTAGCATTGGCTGCAAAACATTGCAACCACATTTGAACAAAACCAGGTTTGCCCATTTGTAAAAAACCTGTTGTTAAATGTGTCATTTAAGGTTTTGTACTAGAATACTCACTCCTCGCCAGTAGAAGGACTATATATTCAAGTCTATGCACTCATATATAAATGAGGCAAGACATTTTAACATAACTAGAGTTTTGTCAACTCTAACTTAGCATGATTATAGCTTTCTTTAGATTCTACTTGACTCATAAATTTTATTTTTTTAATACTTTTCTAAGTGGATCAATTTAATTTTTAAAGTAGTTTTCAGTTTACTGAGTTTGGTAATGTTTACAGGTGATTTTAATATAATTGATGATATGCTTCCTACATATAAATACATCTCTTAATGATCATTATGGCATGTATAATACATTTACATATGTGTGTGTGTGTGTGTGTTTGCATTACACAAAAATCTATAAAAAATATTACTTTTCAAATAAAGGATAACACTTATTCTATAAAACATGTTTGAATTTTTTGATCACCAAATCAGTGAGTAGGGAGGATTTTGTTGAAGTTTGAACAATTATTTAAATCTGAACAAGAATAGAAAATCATTTGTATTGAATTCTAAAGAAAATGTTAAAAAACAATAGAAATTACAAAACCATATGTTGAACAATGTTCTGAAGAGAATGTGTGTAAACATCAAAATATGAATAAAATTAATTTGACAGACACATATATATGAATCTACTCCCATGGATTAATTAAAGTGTTCAGTTTGAAATTACCTGATCAACATATACCTGATGAAAGCCAGAGATCACAACAGCCAAAACATTGTGATAACAATAACAAAGATGAAGACAAAAGTCCACATGTTAATATTTTCAAAAAAGATATTTAAATTAATTTAATATGTCTTAATTTGTAACAACACATTAAATCTGTGGAGAAGCATCAGATGTTCTGAATATTATTTATCAGAAAATTTGGATTGGCCAAAAGTCTTTTTCAAAAGTCATTTTCTGGTGTTCCTTTCTTTTTCTTCTTCTTTTTTTTTATAGTGGAAGTTGTGTATGGAGCCTCTCTAACTTTGGTAGATTTCTAGTCACAATAATTAGACCCTGGGCCAGCAAACTTTCATTTTGCAGCAGTGTTCAGTTTTTTCTTTTTATTTGAGGATAACTTTTTCATTAGTTGAGAGAGAAGTATATATAGAGAGAAGGGTGGAGAGAGAGAGAGAGAGAGAGATTGGGTTTTAAAAGAAAGCGAGTGACTTATTTTAATTTTTAATATTTTATTTTCATATTTTATTTTTACATTATATTTACTTACATTTGGGCTCACCAGAAGTCCATTACCTAATATGATAAATTGACAAAGAGAGATATAAATACATGAATTTTCAAAACAAAAAATATTTCCTAGAAGTGTGGAAGAGAGAATTTCCCAAATTTACTTTTTTCAATTGAGCTTTTTCCTCTTTATCAGATCTTTGGCAGCAAACTTCAAATTAAATAAATGCTCTTGAAAAATAAATGTTGAGGAAAATTCTTGAAAATAATTGCATAGAAAATTTTCTAGAAAAAAATTCTCCATTTCAATAAAAAGAAAACCAACTTCTAATACATTCCCTACTTAAAAGCAAGAGAAAACTATATACTAATTTCAGAAAAAGGTACGCAACTAAGGCGGACTATTTTTTTAAAAAAAATGCTAGCTTTGTATGAATATTAACGTCACACTTCTGATTACAGTTCCGTCTTCATATAACAAAATACATTGTAGAAAAAACCCAAAAAACAAAACTGTTTGCTCAAACTTTCCAAGTTAAAATATTAAATCCAAGCCCGTTTGCTTGTATTTTTATCTTCTGTCTGGAAGGATTTTTACACTGTCGCCATCTTCATCATGTCGAATATGGAAAGTATCCTTTCAAGTTAAAATTGTTTTACTTTTTAATTCACAAAAAACTAAAAAGGGAAGGTTGCCATGTTTATAATCACCATCTGATTTTTGTTAAAATGACTCATTTATTTATTTTATTAGGCAGAATTTCAGTTGATTGTCTTTTGGATTTCTACAAATAAATAAAAGGGAAAAGTTGACGTGATAACACAGTAACACTAGTGTCAATAATAGTTTTTTTTATTATTTGTTGACTATTGCTGTAATTAGCTTCTTCAGATATTTTTTATTTTTAAATTTTAACTTAAAAGGTTGAATAATATTTAATTTAATTTGATATTAGAATATTTTAAATTTGTTTTAAATTCTAAAATAATAAAGTGATGAAAACAAAAGTCCGTTTTCATTTCAAAACAAAAGCATAAGTCAACCATTTTATAAATTTTCGAATCATTGATTTAAATTTAAATTCATTCTCTTTTTTCTACAACTTGAATAAAACTTTTTTTTTTTTTTTTTAATCTATTATTTTTAACGATCAACTCTCCACGCCCTCCAAAAAATTAACTTTTCGTTTCTATATTGTGGGTGAGACAAGTTCTTAGTAGTTTTTAACAAAATTAAAATTATTTATTTTTTAAATCCAGTTATTTGAAAAATGTAAGAAATGTTTAACTAGGATAGCTACGCGTGTGACCAACGTATTTTCCCCGGTGATTTTTGTGTCGAGCCTTTGAAATAACGGCGTACCTTTTCTCTCTCTCTCTCTCTAAAGAAAGATCAATTAATAAGAAAATAGATACAAAAAAAAAAAAATCCGATTTTGGTGTAATAATCACCTTTGAACTCTAGTCAGCAGGACAGAAATGATTATAAATAGTTTTTAAAAATCATATTTTTCAAAACGATTGCAGTACACAAGAATAGGAACATTTCTTTTTAGAACTGTTTTGCGGCAAAACAGCAAAAAGATAAAAAATCACGTTTGCTCATGAGAAATTGACTTGAATGTTATCAAAGATCAATTCTATTTTCATAAACTTTTTTAAAGAAAGATTGGAGGTGGGAAATTCTGATATGAAAAATTATCTTTTAGCTTTTTTTTTGTGAATCCCCGTCAAATTGAAAACCTGCCAAGTATTGATTTATTTCTCTTACATTTCTCTCTTATTTTAATTAGCCCTTTTGAATTTGAAAACTGATCGACTTTTCTTCGTACATAGTCATTGGTTTTGTGGTCACAGTAAGGAGATGCGGAGGAGCTTTCTCAAGCATTTGTTCTTAAACGCCTGAATCATTTTTTCTTGTCTCAACCAGGAGTATCAAAGTCTCACACCGATAGAGGAGGCCATCTTCCTCTATAGAACCAGCGATTTGTAGAGCTTGAACTGGATATGGAAGCTGATGTTGCTCTTCCATATCTTTTCCAATCTGGTCATCGCTGCTGTGGCGATCCTGTGCAGATTTTTGCATTGCAGGTGCCATCTTTTGACAGGGCTGCTCCCAAGTATTTGAAGCTGGACACTTCCTCCAGTGGTTCACGAGTGGCACTTATTCACCATTACTTTGGATTTCTCTGTGTTGAGTTCCATTCCATATGCGCCAGCTCTTTGAAAGAGTTTTTGGTCAGGTCATACAGCTCACTGTTACTGCTCACCAGAAGGTCAATATGATCTGTGAAACGCAGGTTGCAAACAGGTCTACCAGTGATAGATAGAAATGTTGTAGTCATGGAGGGTTTCCTGCATAATTCTCTCCAGAAATAGGTTGAAGACTGAGTGATAGCTATCTTGAAGAAATCTTCCACTTGGTTACTCAAGAGAATTGCACTGGTAGAGGGCCTGGATAAACATGTATGTGCCCTTTTATGTTGAATCCTCTGAGAACGTACCATGCCATCCCTGATCAAATGCTTTCTTGAAAAAAAAAAAAAATCCATAAAATAGTTTTATAGATATTTCTTGATGAGGACTCTACAGTTTCAGATATACAGACAGGTGTGTTAAATTCTTTCTGGTAGCTTCACAACCTATGAAGTTAATGAAATTAGTCTGTAGTTACCTTTTCATAATTGGGTGTTTTCTTTGACTGTGGAATGATATTCATATCTTTCCAGACTTGGGGCATGGACAAGGTTAAATAGTAAAGACAGTACAATGGGGTATCAAAAGCATCACATCTTTTAAGTATATTTATGTTTATCTTGTCAAGACCAGAAACCTTGTCACTTGCAAGGGTTGCCAGTAATTTTGTAACTTCTGCTTCATTAGTTGCTGTTTCTTTCAAAATAAAATCTACTTGATTCCCATTTTTGATATTTAGAAAAAAATATCTTTTTGTTATTACTTATTGTTATTTTTCAATCTCTCTTAAAAAAAAAAAAAAAAAAAAAAAACTAAAAAAAAAAATATTTACACACTAATGAGATTTGAAAATACTTCTGGTTGATTTGGAGTGGATCTTATCAATTTCTCTCTTCAAATTTTGATGCATTTAAACACTTAAATTTTGATATGATTTTATATCTTTTACTTTTATATTAACTGTTTTAGAATAAGCTTGTCAGTTAAAAAATAACAAGAAAAATAGAAAAAAAAGAAAATTTTTTCCTATAAAAGTTTCTGTGCAAATTTTGTCAAGAATTTTCCTCAACATTTATTTTTAAAGAGCATTTATTTAATTTGAAGTTTGCTGCCAAAGATCTGGAAAGGCAAGCAAAGAAGTCTGAAAAATCTGAGAAAGAGGAAAAAGCCAAATTGAAAAAAGTAAGTATTCGGTTATAATCTCTCTTCCACTCTTCAAGTTACCTTCATCATTTGTTGTTACAAATTAAGACATAGATCGCTAAAAAAAGAGCATAGCATGATGTAAAAGATGCCAAACTTGATGAAAACAAAATTTTATCATCTCAATGCTTATGTTATTATTAAGAGGAAAGGTCAAAGTTTATTTTAATTATTTTTAAAAATTTTTCCTTCTTTTAGAACATTCTAAATTTTGATTAAAAAAACCTTTTTCTATTTGTATCAGCGGAACTAGTAAATAACATAGACAATTTTTAGCACGTTTTTTGGTATGACACACATTAATTTGAAAAATCGTGCAAAAAATAGAAATAATTATCGGATGTTAATGAAACTTTCAGGAACTATTCACAGATGATCGAAATTATTATAAATATGTTTTTTTTTTATGAAAGTCATGGTAGAAATATTTTTTTTTAAATATTTATTACCCCCCATAACTAATTTTATGAAAACTCTAGAAATTCGATCGCATCGGGTTTAGTGATTACAAAGCTTTGAGGAATGCAAATCATGTTTTTTTTTTTTTTAATTGGATCTGCACCACCTGAAAATCAGCTCTGAATTGTAACGTACGAAACTCAATAAAACAAATATATTATTTAATTCCAAATGCTTTTATTTGCTTTTAGTTGTTTTTATGAATATGGACAATATTTTCTGAAAGCAAAAAATTTTTCGATGAAAATGAATTTTTAATACAATTATTTGTTATTTCATTAATTATAATAGATTTTACATTTAAGTTGTTAAAATATTATAAAATTAGTTAAAAGCAAGATCGGCTTTCATAAGTGTCCTTATGAGATAGATCTTTTTTAGCGCATTGTAAATTGTATCATTTTGACTAATCAGAAGATCCCCAGTAATTAAGAAATGTAATTTTGTGCTTATAATCGAGCTGTAATTATAAAATACGGAAGACCAACCAGAATATAATTAAGTTGCGTTATTTGAGTTAAGCATTGTTCTCCGCTGTTAAGGCCTTTACTTTTTTGAAACACGTGTGGAGAAGTTAATTTGATTTTTCAATTTCAACTGAGAAGGGTACCTACAAGTATCAGTATCATCTTATGAAATTTATATGATCTTATTTTTATATTAATCTCAGTTACGACATTTTTCCATAAATGAAATATCAAAATTAATAATAAAATGAATGCAAATACAAATAACAGTAGAATGTAATAAATGTACATAAAATTATAGTATTTTATGTACAATTCTGATAAAATTTCATAAGAAAGGTACCTATAAATTAATTAGATACCTTTCTTAAGAAATATGAAATTTAATGTCACTCTTAACAGTTTTATTTTAATTTCTTTTAGAATATATTTCCCCATAAAGCATCATAAACGTAAAGGTGAAAGCTAAGTACAAAAAAAAAAAAAAAAAAAAAAAATTTAGACCGCTGAAAGTTTTCATTAAAAATAACGGGGTAAATAATTTGTTCACGTAAATGTAAATTATTTCACTTTTCTCCTTCCGTAGAACAAATTAGCCTCATGGAATTCGTAAATATATCATTCATCACATGTCAAGAGACGCGAAAGTTTATGACCTGCTTTGTTTTATTTTCAAATTACATCTTTTTTGGCACAAAAGCTAAGTTTTTGGTTCAAAATATTTTAAATAAACATTATAATTTCTGATTTTCTTAAAATAAGTTTTGAAAAAATGATAATTGATATTTAAAAAAATTTCAAAGTCAGATTTCCAGTTTTTTTTAAATGGAAAAAAAATGGTCAATTTTGCTGACTCAAAAAACTAGATTTTTTAACAAAAAATTTCGGACGTGCTAGGAACGATTAAAAAAATGGAAAAAAATACCCCAAAAATACTTTGACCTTTCCTCTTAATAATAACAAACATTTAGACGATAAAATTTTGTTTTCGTCAAGTTTGGCGTCTTTATGATCATGCTATGCTCTTTTTTTTTAGCGATCTCATGGAGGTACCTAATTAAATATAATCAAACCTTCTGTTTTTTGCCTGTTTGATACCATAAAATCTAATCACCTTATCACAAGCTCCTTATTTTTGTGTTGATGCTAAACTACAGTTTGGCTGGATTTAAGTCATATTGGGGTTTGTGAATTATAAATTGAGTGTTAATGATAAATAGATTTTGAGGTTTAATTAAGTGTCATTATTTGTTTACAGGCCATTCAAAAAGGAAATACTGAAGGTGCCAAAATCCATGCTGAAAATGCCATTCGACAGAAGAACCAAGCATTAAACTTTCGGCGTATGAGTGCTCGAATAGATGCTGTTTCATCTAGAGTACAGACTGCAATAACAACAAAGAAGGTTTGCTTTTTAAGTGTTTTTTTTATGAATGGCTATGAATTTATCTTCAAATTTATTTTCATGTTTAGTTTTTAATTCACATCTCTTTAATTTAGATCACTATTTCAATGATGGGTGCTTCCTTTTCTGCATTTTCAAAGCTGGACATTTCATAGTAGTGTTCTTAAAACTTGTTGCATTCCAAGTTGTCTCCCTACACATATCAAAATAGTCCCATCTTAAAGAAAAAAGTTTAGTGGATGAAATACCAGAGAAATTCAACTCTTAAAAAAAAAAATGATAATTACACCTCTTTGTAGAGCAGTCATAGGCAAACTGCAGTCCGATTGGCATTTTGAATGGCACACCTAATTTCATGAAAACAACATTATTAAAATGTTGTTTGTTTCCTTTTGTTCTCACTTGTTCGCTCATACATAGCCACATACATAAACGATGATGTCTTGAATTTTGTAACCTTTTGTTGAAGGTAATAATGTCAGCATTTTAAGCCACTGCCAATTTTTGCTAAGGAAGATCATAAGTGTGAACACCTTTTAGCTTCAAAAACTGGAAACATTAATGATAATTATTTTTCTTTAGTGAATCAATATACTTTTAAAAAATGTTTTTTCATCCTCAAAAGAATAAATTAGAAACAAATCACAGAGCAGTGAGTGTTAATCTTTGTCATCAGTGATAATGTTATATCAAAACTTTTTTTTTTTTTTTTTTAAATTGTGGAAGGAATCTTTTCTATAAAGAAAAGAAAAATCAACTTTTGTCCATTTCTAAGGCAGATGCTTATGTGCATGCTCTTTCGTTGTGAAAATGACTGTGGTATCTGTAATGAAAAAAAAATCTTTAGTAGTGCAGTCCACCTTATGATGAACTCATGCAGCCCACTGTTCAAAACAGTTGCCCAAGCCTATTGTAGTGCAATGTTTTGTCTTTAATAATCAGTTGGTTTCATATTTTTGGGTCCATAACCCTTGAGGTACAAGTGAATCAAAAAGAGGGTATTTGTGCAAAGGGTCTTACATCGAAATTTGTATTACTGACCGAGTGAATGAACATTACCAGCTGAACCCCATTTTAAATCAGACTTATTTCATCAAGGGATATTACAGTTTAAATCTTTTTCTTATATTTTCTTTAATGGTGCATTTCAAAACTGTATAAAGTACTTATTGCATTTTGTCCAAATTGAAACGCTCAAATAGCTTTCACCTCAGCTTTTATGCATTTTCTTAAGAAAGCATTAAACAGAATTCATATAAAATAAAAAAAAATAAATATATAAACTGAATATATTCTTAGTTCTTTAAATTCCACACATGTTTGTCCATGAAAAAATGAAAATAAATTTTTTACAAGTGTCCAGGTTTCCTTTTAATGGTCATTTCATTTTCATCTGTGCCTGGCAATTTTTGTGTTTTGAAGATTAAATTGAAAATTTATTTACATTTTTTTTTCAAAAAATGAAACTACGTACACTTTATAAAAAAATAAAATAAAAAATGCACTGGATAAGTTTTAAGCTTAACTTTGTCCATAAAAAATGGAAATGTAATTAAGTAATTTTCAAAATTTAATCAGATTCTTTTTTTTTTTTTGTTTACTAATTTTAGAGATTAGGTTCTATTTTGAAGGTTAAAATCAGATTGTTACATTTTCTTAAATAAAATATGGTTACATATAGGTTTCAACATTTGCAAATGTATTGTCTTTTTGTAATTTCTTTTTCCTTAAGCTGTTATTATAACAATATTATGGAAGATAATAAGCATAACTTTTTTTTAAACAGGTATCTTTCTTTTTCATTTTTTTTTTTACAATAAGCACTCATTTGAAAGATTCATTTCATAAAACAAATTTCTATGTTTTGTAGTCATTACTGTCCTTTTTTTTTTTTTTTTTTTTTTTTTTTTTTTTCAAAATAAGAATTGTATAATTTCACAAAATTTTCCAAAATTAGATATGTGTATGAGAAAAGGTATTCATAGTACAGAAATGGACTATTTTGTTGAATTCCTCATCCCTAAATTAGTAAATTTTCAATGTTTCATGCATGTACTGCCAATGGATACATTCTTATGGCAAGTTCAGGATGGTATACTTTTTACCTGTTTTTACCCTACTGTCAAATTGCACTTCTTGCTATATTTACATGGTGTAACTCATATGCACAGTCAAAAGATCTCTTCTATGTCATGTCTTAACTATTTTGCTTTTGAGAACACAATTTTTCCCAATATTTAGGCTGGTCAGATCTAATAATTATTGGTTCCATTAGTATTATATTCATTTTACTTCAAGACTACCTACATGACATCACATTTATGATGATTTTAATTTGTCTGAAGCCTGCATCTTCAGTCATACACTCTTAAAATAAACTTCTGTTTCAATAGCACATGAAATGGAAAACTGGTGAACTTTGAATGGGCATAATATGTTTGCTAACTGAGTTACCAAGATAAATCTGGTACCATTTTCTTTTTATTTATTTATTTTTTTTATTTGTATATGCTTGTATTAAAGGTTTTTAGATATCTGAAAGATAAAATTTTAGTTTGGAATAAACACTCATATTATTTTTGTCTGTGTTCACCCAGGGACATGGATATGCTTTTTAAAATCATTTGCTGTCAATTACAGCCAATATTTTCAAAAAATTGAAAACAAAGTTGCTTATGAAATGCAGTGCTAAAGGTTAAATAGGTTGTAATATTTTGAAAATTCAACCAAATTAACAAATCTTTGACTTTCTTTTTTTTGTTCCACATTGTTTGAAATATATGTAAATTTTGTAAATCTATCTGGATTGTGCTTGATTCAAAGGAAAATTTAGAACACTGTCATTTTGGCATGTAAGATGTGAACTAAGAAAAGATATTGAACATGAAATCTCATTTTAGATTAGATAATCTTTTAATAACTTTAAAGAGTCTGGTGTGTTTGTATTATATCATGATATGAAAACAGAAAACGAATGACTGAAATTGACAACAAAACTAATGAAAAGAATGCAGGTCATTTTCAAGGCTGTACTTGTTTAATTTTTTTCATTGCTTTTAAAAAACACAGAAAATATGCAAAAATAAAAATATGTTTCTATGCTGGGAATTATGTATTACTGGGTCAAAATAAACGTTTTAAATTTATAAGCATGCAAAATAAATATTAAAAATGTGATGGATTTGGACACTTGTGCCAGTTTGGCTACATAGAAAAATCTGTGTAGCAGATTGAATGGAACAGGATGATGTTGGAATTTAATTTCTATCATTTTTTTAACTGTAAAAATATTTACACTTTTGAAATGTTTTGATTTTTTTGTAGGTAACTCAGTCCATGGGAGGAGTTGTCAAGTCTATGGAATCAGCCATGAAATCCATGAATCTAGAAAAGGTTTCTATTTACTTTCAAATGTTTTTTTTTTTTTGCTGTGTGTGGTTGTATTTACCCTTTTTTCTTTAAATAACTAATTTTTTTAATAATCTTAAAAATAAGGATCCATTTTCTGTTTTCCTTGTTATTTATACTCATATCTGCTAAGCTAACATTAAAATTGAACCTTTTGAATTTGGTTTATCATGTAAATCGGCTTGGGTATTAAACAAGATGATGGGCAGTAGATAAATGTTTCTGCTCTTAGATATATGAAGATGAAAAATGTCCCATCACAGATACAACAGTAAGATGAAATTTAACCTACAATGCTTCAGAGTTAAAATCTCTTCATCAAAAAAGTATTTTCTTTATACTTAAAATACAGGCCAGTGTCTTTTTTTAAGTCATAAATAAATTGATTGTATTCATATTGAGTATTTATTAGCTATGCTTTGAGACTTACAATTTTAGTGACTCATGAAAAGGAAAATTAATCCTTTTTTTTTTTTTTTTATTTTTTTGTTATTTTTTAATATTTTTGGTTTCTTTACAAGGTTTTGGATAGTCATAGGGTTGTTTTTCTTCACAGTCTTTGTTGTTCCCATCTTTTGTTTTTTCAAGTCTAGTATCTTGACCTTGAACTCCTGAATCCATTAATTCTGAAACTACAATTAATTTTGTGAGTTCTAGGCTTCATTACTTGATGCAGATATATAAAACTGATAGTTTTACAGTGATAATAAATGATGAGCAGGACATCTATTTATCTTAAGCTATCTGACAATCCTTTTTAAATCCGTAAAAAGGCAATATAAAAATTTTTCTATGATATAGATATAGAGCTGGATGTGTGTAGACAATTCGGATACATGAAAAAAAATGGTGAGTTGCAGTCAGGATTGCTTATACAGTTTAAGAAAGTACTACTATAACGGCAGTAGTTTTGCTCCAGAATAGTTTAAATGTTGTATGCTACTGAAGAGATAAACATAATCTTGCTGTAAATTATGTAGACACATTTTGAACTCATTTACTATAATCTGAATGTTGTTAATCTAGTGTTTAATAAATAGTTAAGATAAATGAATTGCATGTTGTCATTTCCTATTCTTCTTTGCATTATTATTTTTATTTTAGATTGCTCAATTGATGGACCGCTTTGAGAAAGAATTTGAGAATTTAGATGTTCAATCACAAGTTATGGAAGGCACTATGTGCAACACATCAACTCTAACAACACCACAGAATGAAGTTGACAGCTTAATGCAACAAGTTGCAGATGAAGCTGGGTAAGATACTGCTTCAGTTTATTTTAGTAAAAGCTCAGTTAAAAGCTCTCATTTTATTTGTTAATAATCAATGTTTCCATATTGCTTTCCTCATCAAGACTTCACTGAAATTTCATTTTGAAAGTGGCTAAAATCTTGTAATGTTTGTGTGTGTGTGTGCATGTGTAAATATACATTCTACTTTTTGATCTTGTTATTATTTTCTCTTATTTCTTTAGAATTAGTTTATAATTTCATTGACTTAAACTGCAGTTATTTATCATTTGATCTAGAATATTTTTCATGCATAGAACTGTAATTATTCTTTTTAACATAAATGTGACATTTTTGAATTTTTTCATTTCATTTTTATAACTAAAGTTGTTTGCAAGTTGTAGTGATATGCAAATTAGTATAATTTGCATATGAGCAGGTAGCTCATATGATAAATGGACAACAACTAGAACAGAAGTCGAATGCTTACTTAGCAATATACACGACATAACAATGGCGTCGCCGATAGGATACTCTTTGGTCCTTGAAGACCCAGAGTACGTAGATACGTGGATTCGTTGCTTTTCTGCTAATGCAAGATGTAAAAAGTTGAAAGACAACAAAAACAGAGGAGGGGAAAATGAAATCACCGACTTGTTCATGGCTACAGCTGGTTGTGAAGCGATTAGGAAGGTTGCTACAATGGTTTACCCTTGAGAACTAGAAGAAATGACTTTCGAAGAAATAAGTCAGGTTATTGAGGGAAACATGAGGCCAAAGAAAAGACTGGTGATTGCAGAAAGGACCAAGTTTATGGCAATGAAGCAGGAAGTGGATGAACCGATAGTAAAAATATTTACACCGTTAAGAAGTGAAAAATACTGTGAATTCGAAAACTAGGAACAGGAGAGCAGACAACGGAAGAAGAATTAATCCAACTAAGATTAATTGAAGGTATGCATAATTCAGCACATAGATATATGTTAATGGAACAGTTACAACTTACAAACATGCCTTTGAATATGTGTATAGAATTTATACAACAGCAGGAATTAATACATACCTACAACCAAAATAAAAATAAATCCTACGAAGAAATAATGGCTGAAACATATACGGTACAAACAAAAAGAAAAAAAATTGTTTGTATTGTGGAAAAAATTCATAAAATGAAAAAAAAAAATGCCCAGCCTTTGGAAAAAACGTGTTCAAAGTGTTTAAAAAAAAATCACTTTTCAGAAGTATGTAAAACGAAAATGTGGAAAGAGTAGAGGATGAAAATAGACAGATTTTAATGTAAAAAAGGATATACAAAATTAATGGATCTAAGAATGAAGATACAAAAAAAAGTGAAAATCAAAAATTGTATTGTTGAAAATGCATTTCGACACAGGTTAAAAGGTCATTTTATTACCCAGAAATTTATTTGGAAAAAATGAAAAAAACTGTTTTTAAAAACACCAACGTATAATTACGTCAGTTTGATGGCTCGATTATAGCAATTATGGGTTACTTTGAAGGTTCAATAGAACTAAAAAGAAAATATGAAATAGTACCCATTATAGTTACAAATTGCTGAAAAATGCATGGACTATTGGGGAATGACGTGTTAAAAATAAATTCAATGAAGTTGATTAATGAGATAGAAATAGAACAAAAAAAGGAAAATTAAAAAATTATGAAGCTAGCCTGAAATTAAAAGAAAATGTTTTCCCCTTATTTAAGGTTTTTAAATACCAGTGCATTTATTAAAATTGGTAATAACTAAATTTAAATAAAGCTAATAAAGTAAGACTTATTAGAACCTGCCCTCAAGGAGGAAGTAAATGGGCATCACCCATTGTGGTATTGAAAAAAAAGATGGTGAACTGAGAATTTGTGGAGATTATAAAATAGGGGTGAACCATAAAGTTTATGCTGACTGCACCCTATTCCAAATGTGGAAGTAGGGGATTTAAACTTGCTGGAATGAAAGTATTTTCGAAGATAGACCTAAAATCAGCTTACCACCAAATACCGATAAATGAAAATTTTAAAGAAGTGACGACCATAAACACACCTATAGGCCTGTTAAGGTGGAAAAGAATGCCGTATGGCATAAAAACGGCAAGTGCAATTTTTCAAAAAAGCTATTGAAAAGTAATAGGAAATGTTGAAAATACCATCTGTTATCAAGAGATAGATATATGTATTGGAGATTTAAATGAAGATGATTTAAAGAAAAAAAAATGAAAATATACTGAACCGCTAAGAGACGCTGGTATGATAATAAATACAAAAAAATGTAACCAACAGTAATGAAATATCATTTTTGGGTTACTCAATATCAAAGGAAGGGATCTCTCCAGATAAAGTACTAATAGAGAAAATTCTAAAAGTTGCTACACCAAAAAAAAAAAAGAGTTGAGTCCTTCTTAGGTTTGGTAAATTTTTTATAGAAAATATGTACCAAAATATAATGAGTTGACAGAACCATTTGCTAAGTATAATAGTACAAATTTTTGACCCTAAGAAGGACATAACTCTAACTACTGACGCTTGTGAGCAGTCCATATCTGGTATTTTGTCATAAGATGGGCATCCCATAATGTACTTATCGAGAGATTAACAAATAACTGAACACAATTATTCGAATATAGAAAGGAGGCACTAGCCATAGTGTGGACAACGGATAGAGCAAGACAGTTTTTGATGGGAAAAAATTTCTTGTTGAAAAGTGATCACAGACCACTGGAATTTATTTTCAACCCGAGAAAAGAGCTACCGAAAAGTTACAACGTCCAGAATATTACGATAAGGCATTAGACTGATGGTGTTCGACTTTGACATTGAATATGTTAAAGGAATAATATAAAATATACATTGATGCCTTTATCTAGATTGAGATTTTATAGAGAAGAGAAGGACAAAAAATTAAAAGGAATTTGAAGATACATTCTTTTACCTTGTAGAAACCGATGTAATATCTGTAGATAAAATGGCTACTGAAACTACAAATGACCCAGTGTTAAATAGAATAATGTCGAGGATAAAACAGAATCGCTGGGGAAATTGTTCAATGGCTGAAAGACCATTCAAAGAAATTAGACATAGAATGACTATAGAAAACGGGATAATATGTTATTTTGGTAGTTCCCCAGAAACACAGAGGAGACAGGTTATAAAATGTGTATGATGATGACATTGTGGAGGCAGCTACACAAAATGAAGATTAAAATTGGAAGCTTGGTGGCCAGGGTACTCAAGAGACGAGAAGACCATATAAGAAGATGCAAAAATGCACAGAACTTAGGAATTTTAAGCAAAAAGAAAATACATGTATGGCCCCTAAAAGTAGAACCATGGAGCAGAGTACACATGGACCATACCTATGTCAATGGGATAGGACTATTATTAATATTAGTAGACGATATTCAGGTTGGCCTGAAGTGGTGAGAGTACCTGATAAAAAAAAGTACCACCGTAAAACAAATATTAAGAGTAATATTTTTCAAGGAATGGGACACCGAAAAATTGGTGACTGATAACGCACCAGAATTTGTGGATGCTGATTTGCATGAATGGTTAAGAAAAATAGGATGCAGACTTTATAAGACCCCTCCCTACCACCCTCAAAGTAATGGGATAGCGGAAAGGATGGTCCAGACGGTAAAGAAGGGCATAAAAGCATGCTTGCAACAAAAGGAGGAAGTCGATACTTTTCTACCAAGACTACTATTAAGTTATAGAACAATTCCACATGCAGGTAGGCCGGAAAATCCATCTGCCTTAATGGGCAGACAATTAAGGTCCCCTTTGACAATGTCATATGCCACAAATCAAAAGATGTGGTACAAAAGAAACAGGAATATGCAACCCGAGTCAGCTGAATTTATTATGCAGAAAGGACATAATACTGCAATATTAAATAAAGAGAATGGGAACAGTATTCTAGCTCATGTTGACCAAATAAGATCCCAAGGAGAAGAATCAGATGAGGAAATGCCTTCAGAGATGCCCATTACTGACGTAACAGAAGAGTTAATGCAGAATGAAACTGCGGAGGAAGAAGTAGAGAGGGATGAGTTAGAGGAGGAAGAAGTAGAATGGGACAAATTAGAAGAGGAAGACCACAGTATGCAAGAGGAACAGTTCGATTATAGGGAAAGACGGATAGATCTAGCTCTCCAAGGAAAGGAGAGAGATAAAGGAAGATGTTCAGGAGGGCACAAGAAGAAGTACAAGAAGTACTTTTAATGATATAAGGCCCCTTTTTTATGTAGTTTTATAAAAATATCCATAATTTGCATATATGAGGTAAAACATGATAAATGGACAACAACTAGAATGGAAGTTGAATGCTTACTTAGCAATATACATGACATAACACAAGTTGTTAGGAATGATTTTTTTTTTTTTAATCATTTCACTCCAAGTAAGACAATAAAGCCACTAAAAACAAAGGGTTACTGAGTATAAAAGAATATGAGAAAAAGAAAAACATTATCAATGAGAGAGAACAATATAAGAATAGGAATTAAGAAGACAGAAGATAATGATTAACATTGCATTTAAATTATCAGTTTGACTGGAAAGCAAGAGGCCAGAAGAGTTTCTCAAGCGACCTTTGGATTTTATCAAGAATCTCTAAATACATAGAAGCACCACCAGATCATGTGATAGTTATATTCAATACTTAGATAAATGATAAACTCCTAAATGTGTAAGATAGATTCTGGTGAGAAAAATTGTCTAGCATGACACAGTGAACCAACTTTCCTATGAACTGGTCTAACAATTTTCAGTATAATGTTTTTACTTCATGTCAGCTCAAGAAAGTGCAATGAATCACTCTCCTGCAGGCTAGCATCAGATGGAAGACAGAAAAGTTCTCTAAGATGATTAAAAGAGTGCAGTTTCATTTTGGAAATTAACAAGCCATTTCTTGCCCCAGTTAACTACAGATCGTAGGTTATTTTTGAGATCAGCTGCCAGTTTGACATTTTTATAACATTTGTCTGTTATACTTTTTTATGCATTACTATATTGTTTGCATTATGTGATTTGTTCTGTAAATTTTTCTTTGTTACATTTTGATAATGGGAAATAATTTAATAGTTTTGGGGTTTTGAAATAAGCATTTATTACCTGATGCATTTTTTTTTTTCATAAATAGAAAATTTTGACTAGCTTTAGTATAATTTTTGGAATACATCTGACTTTAACAATGCTCTTGTTGTATATGATGTTGTATGGAATTAACCATATGGAGATACTGGACACTTCATATGTGGAAACAAAAGATGCAACAAATTAGAAAACTTTTTTTTCACAAATGATAATGTTCATATTTTTCTCTGTAATTTTTTATATTGTTTAGCAATCTACTAACAAAATTTTGAAGTGTATTTTGTTATTCATATTGACATAAGAGAAAAGATTTTTGTTTAAATCAAGAGATGACAACAATTTTTGTTACAATTGCTTTTCTGAGTACAGAGGTAAGTGTGAATAAAAAAAAAAAAATTAAAGCAAAAAAAATTATCAGGTTGTGGTAAAGGATTTCAGCTCTTTCACTTTTAAAATTTGTCAAATGTAAATAAACATTTTAAAGTATCAGGTCATCCCATAAGTTCTGTCCGAATTTTGAATAAAGAAAACAAGTGACCAAATGTTACATTTAATTACAGATTCAATCAACAATGTATTTTCCCTGATTATCTATGACTTCCATCTATTAACAAGCTTACTAATTCCATTACTGTAAAATTCTTTTGGCTTTGATTCGAAGAACTCACAAATGTCAGTTTTAACCCCTTCCTGTGTTACAAAAGCTGTTTCTTCCAAATGATTCTGTAAGCTATGAAACAAATGGTAGTCTGAAGGAGCAAGATTGGGGGAATAAAGTGGATGAGGAATTTTCTCCCAACCAAGTTCTTCGATCTTTTGTGACGTGATTCTTGCTGTGTGGGGTCACGCATTGTCCTGATGAAATATCACCTCTTTTCGATTCACTAGAGCAGGTCTTTTTTTTCCTCAAATCTTGGTTCAAATGCTCTAATTGCTGACAGTATATTTGAGCATTAATTGTTGCATTAGGTGGTAAGAATTCAAAGTGGATTATTCTTTGGCGATCCCACCAGATTGAAAGAAGAAGTTCCCTTCTCGGCTGTGGCTGGGGTCCTTCCCCTTTACCAAGTCACTGTCTACGATGTTTAACATTTCGATAAAAGATCCATTTTTTCCTCGCCAGTCACAAGTCTATCCAAAAAAGGTGAAACAAGTTGGCGAGAATGGAGAGAAGAGCAGATGTCAACTCGGGATTTGAGGTTGCTTTCAGACAATTCATGAGGCACCCATTTTCCAAGTTTAGGAACTTTTCCAAGTTGTTGAAGATGACGATGACCAGTTGTATGGTTTGAAGTGAGAACCACTGCCAATTCCTCAACTGATAAAGCAGGATTTTCTTCAAGGGCTGCTTCAAGAAGCTTTTCATGAAACTCAACTGGACGTCCGGTTCGATCTTCATCTTCAAGGGTGAAATCTCCACCTCTGAATTTTGCAAACCATCTTCTGCAAGTTCTTTCATTCACACATTCCTCTCCATAAACTGAGTGAATGTTTCTAGCTGCTTTGGCTGCTGAGTTTCCTTTCTTGAACTCATAAAGCATTATGTGCCTCAAATGATTCTTGGGTACTTCCATGTTAGCAGGGTTTTAATCAAACAAAATTTAATTTTATTGTTCTCTGAAATAAAATTTGATCAGTTTAAATGCATCTAAACATAAAAATAATGTTCAGCTCCATTAGACATTATAAAATACTCTTTAAATTTCGTTCATTTTAACAAAAAGTTAAAATTCGGACAGAATTTATGGGATGACCTGATACTTATTTATGATTTATTGAATTAAAAATTTTCTTTTTTAGTAGTTTTAGATGAGAGAATATATAATTCTTTTATGAAGGAAAGTTTGGTTTTAATGATTATAAATACTGTTTAATTGTGCAGTGTTCCCATTTTGTTTCTGCTTTTTAATCTTTTGTGTTAGTCTCTTTTCTTTCTATTGGTTAATGTTTGAAATTCCAGTAAAAAAAAAATTGCTTTTCAGTCATATTAGGAAATTATAGATGGCATTTAATTCAGAAATTTAGGGTCTTTGTAATGTAGAGCAATTTGTAAATAAATTACTGCATCAGTGAATACATTTTATGGCAACTTCAGTTTCTTTCCCAACAATAAAACATTATCAAAAATAATTTCAATAATCTTTTGGAATTATTTACTAAAATATTTGAGCTACAAATTGTCTATACTTCAAAATATTTTTTTATGAAAAAGCAATTTTTATCAAGTAGTAAATTCTTTATATTATCATTATAGATGTAGTTTTTTTCAATTCACAAACACTGCTTGACCCAAAGGAAGAAATTTTTGTCCAATGAAAAAAATTATTACCATAATAAACACATGCTTTGATGTATAGAATATAAAAAGCCATTTTTATTGACACTAACAGCTGATATGGTGGTGAGCTCCTACTTCCAGATATTTTTATAATTTTTAGTTTTTCATTTGAGAAAATAAAAAAATAATTATTAGTGATTCATATACTTTTCACAAATGTAAATTACAAAAATTCTTGAATTTCAGAATATTGATTGTTTTCTTTATAATTATTGTTCCCCAGAATTCCTGTGAACTTTTTTGTGGAAAAATTTTTGGAAAGAAAAATTACTGTAAGAGAAGGGAATAAAATAGGTTAAAATCTAAACTCAAATTTATCAAAAGTTAATTCAGTTTGGAACATTGTTTTATGGAATGTCACGTGCTTTAGATGTAGCTTTTTCTTTATATTTTTCATGTCAATCTACATATAAAAATATTTACAAAAATTTGGTTTGCTTAAAACTTATTTTGATTGTCCATTTTATTGTTTTTAAATTTGTAAATGAATTTTAAAAATAAGTTTTCTTAAAAGAAAAATAAATGAATAGATATAACGAGGAGGAAAAATTTTTTGAGATTTCAGTGCATATGTATGTCATAATGATAAAACTATCCTAACATCATTTTTTTTTTTTTTTTTTTTTATTTTTTTATTGCCATGAATAAAAATTATTCCTTTCTCCCAGATTGGAGTTGAATATGGATTTGCCTTCAGCATTGCTTCAAAAATTGGCACTCCAAGCTAAGGATCATAAGCTTTTTTTGAACAGGTAAGTTTTATATTGATTGATTCAGTTATCATTTGTTAAAATTTTACCAATTCTTATGTTACTAAGATAAAAATTAATTTATTAAAAATAAATATGCTTTTATATGAGTATTTGTGATGAATAGTTACAAAGTTAGTTTTGTATTTTTATTAAGAATTTATCTCAACCCAAAAAGTTCTTAGATATTTAAAGATAATTTTTCTGTTGCCTTAACTTTCTTAATAATTATTGCACTTGAAACAAATTAGAAATCCTGTTTTCATCAATAAGAGAAAGAATGTCAAGTATAGCATGGTTTGATTCATGACCTTGGCTTGAATTTGAATTTGTTTGCTTCTCTTCATTGAGCAGGTCCAAGATTGAAGGAAAGAAACATACCAAATTGATAGAGTATCTATTTCTTATACTGAGAAATAGTCAATTTAAAGAAAGATGCACTTTTCATATTTTCTAACTGAATTTTAGTCGATCATGTTTTTCTTTGGTAAAATTAAAGTTACAGATAACTTTTCTAAAGTCAGCCTGAACTTGGTTCTACATAACTGAAAAATTTGTGGTTGACAAATACAATATTAAAAGCTTCATAGTTCATGTTTATATTTGAACAGAATAGAAAATGTTTTTTTGTAAATGACTGAATGACTTTATTCTTGAAATGTGATATGGTAAAGAATTGAAAATCAAGAAAAAATAATTATTTAATTATATGTTCTAATTGGGTAAATATTTGTCTTAAAATATTTTGTTTTCAGAAAGTTACAAGTTGTGGTATTTATTTAAAAAAAAATGTTTTTCTTCCAAAATGTTGATAATAAAAGCAAATGTAGCAGGAATTTTTAAAACAATAAACATTGCTGTCAAGGGAAAAAAAAATCATCCTTTTGACATACAGTTTTACTGCTGGCACAAAGGTTAAAGTTTGTGAAAACTTTTTTTTTATAATTAAAACTTCTTTTAATGCAATGTTATATAATTTCTGTTGATTAGCTATAATAATATTTGTTTCATTTTTAGGATGAATTATCCCAAAGGTTAGCTCGATTAAGGCAGCTTTGAAATCTCTGATGATGAACTGGAACATTACCAACCCAACAGTTTGCCTTGTTCAATATTTAAAACATTTCTTATTCTACAAACGCTTTTTGTATGCAATTTTCTTAAAACTAATCCAAGCTCTGATACAGTGTACAGTTTCTGGTCAGGTTTAATGATGAGACTTTCTCTGAAGTTCATTTGGAACATAACTTTTTCCTAACCAGCTAGCAATTGAAACCCCAGCCAAATACTAGAAAAGCCGACCTGAACTGCAGTTAATTACTGCACTGTCACTTGGCTCAATGGCTATGGAGAGTTTTGTCTTGTTTACAAGTGACTCCTATGCACTGGCGTGGAATTAGTGATGAGCAATTACAAAACTGAACAAGTCACTCTTGATTGTATTATATATTAAATTACATGAATTTTTTTTTTTTTTACCTGTTCACATTCTTATAAGTGATGCAAAATGAAACCTGCTGAAATTGACTAAGTTGAAATTGCGATTACCTCCACTAAAACAATTGAGTGGGAAGAGGGAGGGGCATATCTGATATCTTTTTTCCTTTTAAGTCACAACAATATATCATTTAGAAAGAATAGAAATATTAAGAAAAAAAAAACATTTTGATGACAATAGAAGAATCTCAGCATGAACTGTAGATAAAGCTTTTTGAATTTTAACTGTTTTACCAGAAATATTTGAAAGATACAGAAAACTTTTTAGGCTGGAAAGTAATACCACTAAGTTTAAACTGAAGAAATTGTAACTTTAGCAGATTTAATTATATATATATATATATATATATATATATATATTCATTTTTGCTTATTAAATGATTCAAAACTTGGACACTAGAGATAATTTTAAAAATATATCAATTGATTTGCATTCAAATGAATGAAAGTGGTTAATTGTATTTTTGTAATGACCTTTTATGAAAAGAATGAAATGACAAAATATATTCTCTCTTGCCTAATGAGCTTTGAATTCCGACAAAGACAAAATTTGAGATTATTAAATACTCCTTGCTTTTCACCTGTGCCTTTGCAATGGTGTTGGCTTCTCTTCAAAAGCAACAAATGCTAAGTATAACGTTTTGCATTTTCAAATCATGCTTATCTCAGGAATTGAAGGCTTCTAAGGCAGAAAGTGTTTTTTTTTGTTTGCATTTGATTATATTTCTATTTTGTTCTTTCATTGTATTCCATTTTTCAAGTCTCGGCTTTGAAACCTAGAAAATAATGGATGTGAACATTGATATGTTGACAAAATCTGCAACAAATTTTTTTTCTTCTTAAGATTTTCATATTCAGTGAAATTTCCTCCACTTCGGTTTTTTTCATTACACACACAAAATATGAAATTCATTTGTTATTCTTAAAGAAGAAAACTTTATTGAAACAATTTTATCCTCAAGGATTCCCTGAAAGTCTAAAAAAATTTTGATATGTCTCTGAAACTAGCGAGTAAATGTAGCATTTTGTGACCATCAATTACCTTTGTGTATCACCCACTGAAAATTCTTATAATAAAAATTTTAATCTTATTTCTTCATTTATTTTAAAGTTAGTTATGATTGATTACCAAAGTGTGTCATCATTGAACTGATTAACATTTTTTGGTTTGAAAATTTCTGAAAATTCTTTAATGTTCAATTGGATGATTTAAGAAAATTATGTCTTACATTGCATCAATTTTTTCTCTTGTTTTGTGAGGAAGTTTGATTGAGAAATTTTACTTAATAACTGAAATCTGCACGAATTGTTTTTGATCAAAGAAAGGAAAGATGATGTATTTAAAAGAAAACAAAAAATTGAAAGTTAAATGATCTTAAGAATTTTAATTGAATTTTTTTCTTCATGTTTAAAGTAACAAAATAAAAATTCATATTTTTCTCTTTTTATTTTCCAAATCAAATTTTCAAAGTCCATGCTAAATTTTCTCTATTTTCTTTTTATTTGTCATCAAAAACAAGAAATTATGATAATTCTGAGTAATGCACACAAACTCCAATTTCTCAGAACTTTCAACATCATAGAAATCTTTATTAAAAATTATCAAAAGGGAAGGAAAATTTGAATACATTTTTTTCTGTTCTAATATTGTATGGTTTTGATTTTCAGTAAACATTTAGAGAATTCTAGACTGCCAACTTTTCTACATGGTAACCAAAATAACTTTTATTATAAATTATTATTTTTAAAATACCTTAATTTTGAAATTTTTAAAAGTTTATTTTAACTTTCTTTTAAATGTTTTTGCCAACTGAAAAACAAAAAAAATTTTGAGTTTTTTTTCTTTAATAAAAATACTGTTATTCATTTTATGTTCAAATAAGTATATTTTGAAGCCCAGTAAAGCAATTTTACAATATAACTAATTAAAAAAAATTAAAAAAAAATTTTTTTTTTCTAAACCTTTAAATAAATGATCTTTTTTTCTTCATATTGGAACAAGAAATTTAGAAAATAAACAAGAAATATTTAATAACTGAAATCTGATAGAATGTTGTAAAGTTACATAAGATTTACTTTCTTATGTAATTACTTTCAGCTAACAGTCAAGAAGTTTTTGGTAGTTTTATATATAATTTCCTCTCTAAATTATTAAAGACTGTCTGAAGGTAAAAAAAAAAAAAAAACAACAGTATGTAAGTAGGGAGATGGGTGAATAGTGATTTATTTTTAATTTTATTTTTTTAATGGCTATGTTGATCTTGTCTGATAGCTCAAAAATAAGACTGGAATTATTTCTGCCTCAAGCAGCTTATGACACATAAATGTGCCTAACTGCTTTGTTGCTTCTTTTGTGTAGATTTGGTTCATATGTGAATTTTGAATAATTCTCACCACATTGTAACACAAATAAAACTATTTTGAGAAAATGAAGAGATGAAGTCCGAGAGAAAATTTTGTATGTATATAAAAATAAAATTTGCTTTTGTTACTTAAAAACTTTCTTTAAAGAGTTTTTTTTTTCCTCCACATTCTTTGAAGTATTATCACCCATTTTGGCATTATGAGTGGCCAATATTGCCTGCATGCTCTTTTATTCTTCTTGCAGAATGTACAGAAAATTTTAATTGAAATTAACAATTCTTTATATTTAAGCTAAGGACCACTCAGTGAGGTTTGAACTCATTACATTACTATTAGTTTGAAAAACTAGCTTTTTAACCATTATTACATTAGCAGATTCACAACAGTTGTTGAATTTCAGTATTTATTTATCTTAGAGGACCATATTTTTGATTTCAACCTTTGTTCACGTTAAGTTCTTTTTTTCCCAATAATTTTACGTTCCGTTTATTGACTTTTTTTTCCAAAAAGTTTGATTTGATTTTCTTTCTTTCCCCCCCCTTTTTTTTTTTACTTTTATCCCTTGTTGTTTCTTTTTTTCATTATTAATTTTCATTTTCTTTAATACGTATTTTTGAGTTTTAATTTTTTCCTTTTAATTTTTAGTAATTTCCCCACGCCAAACTTTATTTTTTTTTAATTTGTTTATTTTGCCCCTCGTAAGACTTCGTTTTTTTTTGCCCCTGTTTACATTTTTTTTATTTCTACGTGTTTTTCATTGTTTCTTTTGTTGTTCTCGTTGTAAATAACTGTTATTTATTCTGTGTTCCTTTATTTAAGTCTTTTCTGTGTATATTGTAATTTTTGCATTTATTTTCCACATTTGTTTTTCTATTCGTTAGTTCTTTTGTATTTTAGTTTACGTGTTTTCGTTCGTGTTTTTGTGGGCTGACTAGAATTTTCTAGTGGCAGCCATATTGTATTTGTGAACTCGTTTGGCATTTTTTTTTTATTTCGTATTTTTTTGTTGTATTATTGTAAAAAAAAAGATACCTTTTGTTTTATTTTCCGTCTTAAATTGTGATTTTTTTTTTTTTACTCGCATTTTTTGTAATTTGTAATTGTTAACTGGTTTTATTTTTAACGTATTTTGTCGTTTTTAAGCGT